GAGGCCTGCTGTCCCCCCCTTCTTCTAACAGAAACTGCCCCGCCCGTGGCTCTTCCACAATGGACCGGCCAGGCAACCTTGTGTGAACTGCAACACCAACCATCTTCCAACCCTGCTTTGGCTCTGCCGCCGGGATCAAGTTGGACTCCTACCCATGGGCACTCGTCCTCAGCCAGCAGTGCCTGTCATGTGACCTGGCGAGGAAATCCCTGCCCAACCAACAGCTGGGCCAGTTAGGTTCCCACTCTCTCGAGTTTCAGATGGGGACTAACGAGCATCTCAGGCCACTGGCAGTGCGAGCTGGAAGGGAGTGTGACTGGGGAGTGGGTGTGCAGAGCTGGGGCGTGGTGGGAGGATGGGTGAGCGAGCATCTGGGGGTTTCCGTCCCTGCTGCCTTCTCTCCTGCACCGCCTCGTTCAGCCCAGGGCCTGGGTAGGTTGACCCCACTGCTTTACCTGTGTCTCCACAGCCATGGTGAGTGGTTCAGGAATGCCCATGGTTTGGCCTACCAAGCCTCAGGCCTGGCTTTTTGCCAGAACAACCAAGAAACAGGCAGATTTCCCCCAGGAGGGCTGCTGAGAGAATAAGCCTGCAGCTGCTGATCGTGAGAGGCGGGTAACCAGGCCGAGAGAGGGAGTCAGAGCTGAGAGGCAGGTGGGGTGAATGAGGCCAAGTCTGGGTGGTGTCCATGGAGTCCTGGGGTCCGACTGTGCCCAGAGGCAGATATCCTGGAATTTTTGGTTTTGTGAGTCAAAGGAGACCTGTTTGTTTCTTTTTGGCTTTAGCTAATTTGAGCCAGATATGGGGCACTGAAAGGGTCCTCATTGCATACACCCCTACTCTGACTTGAGGCAGCCTGAGTCAGGATCTGTTTCTGGCATGCAAGAATAACCCAAGGGTAGTGGTGGTACCCATATAGTTGTGTACAGAGGTCCTGTGAGAGGACTTGAGCAGGGAGTGTTGGGCACTCCCTTTGAACTCCTGAGCCCGGCTCGGGCTGAGTGTGTGTGTGGTTTTGAGAACTAATAGATGGGTTTCATTTCGGGAGCATGTACATGCCAGGCACTGAATTCAGTGCTGATAGTCTGCTCCACGCAGAGATCCTAGGAGACAGTGGCATCTTGTTACAGGTGAGGAAACTGAGGCTGAGAGGAGGTGAATGACTGGCTGTGATCCCGTCAGTAAGTAGAGGAGACCTGATTAGGTCCAGGCTCATATGACTTCAAACCTGGGCTGTCAGCAAAGGAGTGTAAATGTCCTTTAACAGAGGAATGGATAAAGAAGATATGGTACATACATACAATGGAATGTTATTCAGCCATAAAAAGGATGAAATAACAGCATTTGCAGCAACGTGGTTGGACCCAGAGACTGTCACACTCCACCCCTTCACCCCACCCCCACCGCTTCCCTGCAGTGCCTGGACCTCTGTGCCAGGCCTGCTTACAGAGGCGTCACTCTGCACCCTACCATGGGCTGGGGATTTTTGAATAATTGTACGCTTGTCTAGGACAGACAGGCCCCAAAGCACCGTCTTTGAAGTTCTTCTTCTCTCCCATGGTGAGATGGTGAGATATTAAGAGAAGTATTAATTCATGGCTGTTTTTCTCCCCTCCCAGCTGGACTGGGAAGCACTAGATGCTGGGTCTTCCAGCTTTAAGTGAAAGGACTAAGCTGTAGGAAGAGATCTGAAAGGGGTCATAACTAGTAAGAGATCTGGAGTGGGAGACGGGAGGGTCTTTAGAGAAGAGCATTAGAGGCAATGTTGGTGCAACTCCCTTGACTTTAGGGAGGTTCTCCTGGTGGAGGGCCCTGGGCCCTGTCCCCTGTTTGGAATTAGGGAAGACACTGACCTGTCAGATGCTGTCAGGGCAGGCCACCACAGCAGATGGAGATTCGGCAGTTTGAAAGGACCTGGCAGAACAGGGCTGGTGAATAAAAGCAAAAATAAGTAAATGGGATCTAATTAAACTTAAAAGCATTTGCAAAGCAAAGGAAACCATAAAGAAAATGAACCCTCAGAATGTGAGAAAATATTTGCAAACAAAGCAATCTACAAAGGATTAATCTCTATATAAATGGCGCATGCAGCTCAGAATCAAAAAGGCAAACAACACAATGAAAAAATGGGCAGAAGATCTAAGTAGCCATTTCTCCAAAGAAGACATATATATGGTCAAAAAGTACATGAAAAGATTCTCAACATCAGTAATTAGATGCAAATCAAAACTACCATGAGGTATCACCTCACCCTGGTCAGAATGGCCATCATCAAAAAATTTACAAACAAGAAATGCTGGAGAGGGTGTAGAGAAAAGGAAACCGTCTTACACTACTGGTGGGAATATAAACTGGTACGGCCAGTATGGAGTACGGAAGTTCTTTAAAAATAGAGCTACCATGTGATCCAACAATCCCACTCCTGGGCATATATCCAGAGAAAACCATAATTTGAAAAAATAACGTGCTCCACAGCATTTATTGCAGCACTATTTACAATGGCCAGGACATGGAAAGAATGTAAATGTCCATTAACAGAGGAATGGATAAAGAAGATATGGTACATATATACAATGGAATATTATTCAGCCATAAAAAGGATGAAATAACAGCATTTGCAGCAACACGGATGGACCTGGAGATTGTCATAGTGAAGGAAGAGACAAATTCTGTATGATACTACTTTTGTGTGGAATTTAAAAGTGGTACAAATGAGCTTACTTCCAAAACAGAGTCACAGATGTGGAAAACAAATGTTCGGTGACCAGGGGAAAGCAGTGGGAGGGATAAATTGGAAGACTGGGACTGACACACACTCCTGTATACAAAATAGGTAACTAAAAGGATCTACGGTATAGCACAGGGAACTCGACTCAAACTGTAATGGCCCATATGGGAAAAGAATCTGAAAAATAATGGAGATACATATGTATATAACTGATGCACTTTACACCTGAAGCTAATGCAATACTGTAAACTATACACCAATAAAAATGAAAAAAGAATAGGGCTGATGACGCTTGCTCAGAGATTCCTCAACTGGAGAAGGAAGCTGGCCCAGAAGATCCTGTGGGCCCATAGTGGGGCCCAGAAGCCAGCTGAGAGGGTGCTGTAGAGTGTGCAGGGGCCATTGCAGAGAATGGGATAGGCCTGGCCACCATGTGGGGAAGTGACCAAATTAGACTCAAACAGATTTTGTTTAAATCACTGGACTGAGTTCACTGGACTGAGTTCACTGGAATGTTAAGCTAACTTTTCTGTTGGTTATCAGTGAGGACTCATTACAAAGATAAGCTGAGTTATAGAGGAAAAAGCACCCCCAGGTGCTCCTTGGGCTGGGGGGCAGGGAGGAGACTTAAATCCTTCTGGGGTCTGGTCCCATCCTTGACCCACCCAGCCCTCTGTAAACTCTGGGTCTTGGGAGAATGGAACCGTATGAGAAAGAATCAGTACTGCTGGGGGACGGTCACTCAGCCTCGGGCCCTCATGAATGGCTGAAAGTCCTGTCTCCAGGTTCTTGGATTTTGAGGAGGGAGAAGAGCTGTTGGGCCCCAGTGGGAAGAAGGCATTTAGGGTAGTTAGGGTCACTCTTAGCAGCTCTGCCTTTCCTGGCCTCTGTGTGGGTCAGCATTGTCTGTCTCCTGAAGCATGTGCATTACATACTCATTCATAAATCCACTGATGGGATGCGTTCATCCGTCCCTTCACTCAGCAGGGGTTAAAAGGACACATGTTCTACCGCAGAGCCCATTAGAGCATAACTCAGGGCAAGAGAGGTTCTCCATTGCTCATAAATGACTCCCATGAAACAACTGCTCTCTGGGCCAGGACGGCAGGGTGGGCGTGGTGGGGCCAGAACTTAAGGTTTGGAGATTTACAGAGGGACGCACCTAAACAGTCCTCACCTGTAGCAAGATGCCATGGCTTAGTGAGCCCTTATGACATTCCATGCATTGCTTAAAGCATCTAATCTTCCCAGGCATTTCTCATATTCCTTTAGTCAAAAGATACAAAGCTGATAAGCTCAAGAAAAGAGCCTTCAGTGTATAGACATGACCCAGACCTGAAGACTGGTGCTGAGGCTCCAGAGACGGGTTTTTCCTGTTTTCTTGGAGCCAGATGGTTTCTCTCTTTCCTTCCCTGCAGGGCCCTAGTCTGGTCTGGCAGAAGAGTGGGTATAAATCCGTGTGAATCTGAGAACTGGCCAGTTGGGAAACGCTGGCCAGGGTGGAGGCTCCCTCACTGACAGGCCTGCAGAGGGCTGGAGGGGCCCAGGGAAGACAGTGCAGAGGTTCAGGAAATAAGTTCACCTACTTCTGCTTTGCTCAGAGCTGGCCTGAATTTTTAATTGATGCAAATTAAAACTTCCCAAAAATATTAGTCCACTTTGTTGGCAGTGAGCACACCCCCTTCCCCATCAGTGATTTCGCACCATCTGCAAACAAGAGTCTGTGCTGCCAAAGGCCTTCCCCAGCTGCCGGCTCAGAGCCGCCTTTCAGGGAGGCCGGGTCCATGGACAAGCACATTCCCAGGGGCCCCATTGGGTTCAGGTGGGGTAGAATAATCTCCAGTCATCTCAGCGTGACCTGGAAAGCGGTGTGAGGCTGGGGGACCTGAAAGAAAAGCTTCATCCATTTCCTCCTGCTTAAAATCTCTGGGCATGTTTTTGTTTTCTGTGACAATTGAGCAAGTCCTCTGCACCCTTTGTCCTATGGATGCTGTTTGGTGAGCCAGAGGACAGAGGTGCTGGTGTTGTCCGCTGCGGCCATCACACTCCTGGGGGTGTCTGACCTTTAGCCCTGCACCCCACCTGGAGGAGGCGCCGGGACATTACTCCTCCTCTGATGGACCACAACTTTGCCACCTGGCATGCATGCATAGATGTTAGTCAGCAGGACTTGCCTTCTACACCCTGAACTGACCCCAGAGATCGATTTGGCCACTCAGCCTGGCCTTTCCCTTCCAATGAGTGCTTATCGATTGCCTGTTTGGCCTTGGGCTTACAGGCAGAGGAGGCCCGAGGTGGTGGAGAGAAAGGATTCGCTCCCTAAAATTGTACATAACAACACTATGTCACATTTTCTGTAGAAACAAGGTGAGAGAAGGGGAAATAGACATTCACATTTGCTTCTATTTGTATTAAAATAGATTATGGAGGAAATGAAAGGATTTGGGGGCTTCCCATGCAGCACTAGTGGTAAAGAACCCACCTGCCAAGGCAGGTTAGATGTAAGAGATGCAGATTCAATCCCTGGGCCCAAAAGATACCCTGTAGGAGGGCAAAGCAACCCACTCCAGCATTCTTGCCTGGAGAATCCCATGGACAGAGGAGCCTGGCAGGCTGCAGTCCATGAGGTCACACAGAGTTGGACACGACTGAAGCAACTTAGCACACACACACATTAAATATTTTATTAAATAAAAAGAGTGAAGATGGGACAAGGTAGATGGAGAGGGGTGGTATTGAGGGTTTTAAAAAACTTTTTATTGAGAAATATTTAAAACTCAAGTATTATGATTCAAAAATTATATTAAACATTTATATGAGGCTCTGGGGTAGGGATCAGTTGCCAAACTGAGTGATGTAAACTTTGATTCTGAAGACTTTGGAAGAAGGGGAGCAGGTCAACTTGAAAACCTTGCCCTCTTTCTTTGCTGATGGGTCACATCACATGGAGTGAGGGGTGGTGTCCTCCTTTGCCAACATGCTGCAGTAGCTTCTAAGAAGACCTTGCCCAGATTGGGTAGCTGGGGCTGGAACCTCAGCCACTGTTCTGTGTGGTTGCTTTGCTCATCTCTGGGTGTGTGCAGTGTTTTGCACCCACCTACTCAAGAGTCAGCGTGTGTGATGGTCACACATGAAAAGGCACAGGGGATTTAGATCTGAAAGATCCAAGATTATGTCTTAGTCTCGCATCTCACAGTTTAACCCATAGGAAGGCAACTTGCCCTTGCTGCTCTGTGGCTCCTTTGTCTACAGTGAGGGGATGACTAATCAATCACTTACCCAGGTCACAAAATTGTCGAGTGTGGTAATACACATGGAAGTGCTAGGTGAACCACGAGGCAGTAAAGAGCTGGTTTTAAAAAATACTGTCTGTTAGTACAATATGCTTTGTTGCCTAGAAAAATCCTTTGTAAGCAGGAAAGACTGCATCTTCTGCCTGGGTGTTTATGAGTGGCTATTTCTCCAGAGTGCTTCAAAGGGAACCTCAGACAGTGCTCGGGACATGAGTAGGCCATGACATGTTTCTCTTGGCCCATACTTGGTCATTTGATCATCTTGAAACTAGTGACTTCGATGCCTTCCACAAAAACATTCTTCAGTTTATTAGTTACTATAATTACTTGTACTCTGGCCTTCAATGCCATGACATTATTGAACTCTTAGTGCACTAGGCTCTCTGTGAGAAGAGGGTGGGATATGAGGCTCTGGCTCTCAAGAGGTTTACCTCCCAGGAAGGGACTGGGGAAGGATGCCTCAGAGCTGGGTCTTGAGGATGGGAAAGATTATAGAAGGCGAATGTCATCGTAATGGCCATCTACTTGGTTCTACTTGGAGAAGGAAATGGCAACCTACTCCAGTATTCCTGCCTGGGAAGTCAAATGGACATAGGAGTCCATGGGGTCTTAAAGAGTTGGACGAGACTGAAGTGACTAAGCTCTAGACCAGCACTTTGTTCAAATCATTTCATTGACATCATTGCACTCAGTACAATCCTGAAGGACAAGTGTGATCTCTACTTTCCAGGGGAGGAAGCTGAGACTCAGGTTAAGAAAGGTGATTCTCACCAAAGGGATGCTGGATCCCAAATTCATGCTTTCTTTCTGTTTCCATGAAATCGTATACCCTCATAGACCTTCCAGGATACCCACCCTCTAGTCCTTTTAAATCTGTCTCCTTGTGGCACCAGGTTCCCGGGCTGCCACATCCCACCACCATACACATCCTCCGCACCCAAATCCCCACACAGATGCTGTTCTTTCCCACCACAGGGCTTTTCCAGAGCTCCTCCTTCTGCTGTGAGTGCTTCTGCTTCCTCACCCCACCTCTCATTGCATGACTGATTCTCACCACTTAGGTCTTTGCATAACTGTCTCCTCCTCACAGAGCATGTTTGTAACTACGTTACCTGAGTGTTCCCTGTAAATGTGCCTTTCTCCCCGTGGCGCTTGCCCCATTTCATAATTATAAATTTATGCATTTGCTTGCTTGTTGTCTGTAAGGTGCCTAAGGGCAGCGGCCACGTCAGATTTTCTTCACTGATGTGTACCCAACACCTGGTGTAGAGTGTAGAGTGAGTGTGTGGGTCTCAGTTTACATACTTGGGGTGCAGGAAACATTACATTTTCAACACAGCCTTTAATTTCAAGTCCCCATCCCGTGGGGTTGGCAGGACTCACTGACCGCCGCCTCCTGGCCCCCCACCTTGGGATGTGGGGGAACCTCCTTCTTTGCTAATGGGGGAAGGCAAAGAGTAGTTTCTCTACCTCCCTCCTTGCCCCCAGCTCCTGGCCAAGACACTTTGGGTCTTGCCAACCTTTTCTTTTTCCTCCTCTTCAAACTTACCTAGGTTTCCCAAGACTTTGGCTCTGAATGAACAAAAGGCAGAGAGGCTCGCTGGCTTTCTGTCTCACCCATTTCCCCCAAATAATGAAATCTAAAGCAGGCTAGTTGTCTGGGGAAGGAGAGTGAAAGGACCTAGACTCATGTCAAAATGCCACCCCAGTGCAAATAACTCTGCACCTCTGGAGCTGAAAGGTGGACTCTGTAGGGTGAGAGCCTGGAAGGGGTTTGTTTCAAAGCTGGGTCAGGTTTACTGAGGGACACATGGACTACTACAGGATAAACCACTGCAGAGTAACAACAATAGTAAATAAGAAGAATGACATTTATTGAGCACCTATTCTGTGCCAAGCATTGAACTGGCATTTATATATAGCATCTCTAACTCCAGAGTCTGGGCTTTTTATCAAAGCCATGTTACTTCTCTAGTAAAAAAAAGGTCTTGTTCACCATGAGGCTGGGGCTTCCCTGGTGGCTGAGATGGTAAAGAATCTGCCTGCAATGCAGGAGACCTGGTTTTGATCCCTGGGATGGGAAGATCCCCTAAAGGGAATGGTTACCCACTTCAATATTCTTGCCTGAAGAATTCCATGGACAGAGGAACCTGATGGGCTATAGTCCATGGGGTCCCAAAGAGTCAGACATGACTGAGTCACACACACACACACACACACACACACACACACAATGAGGCCAGTCAACAGCATTCAGCACTGGGTGGTCTGTTCTGGGGAGCAAGGAGGAGATGCTCTTGGCAAGAGGGAATTCCAGGCCAGTCTCAGTGACAGCCTGGAGTTACCTGAACCCAGACCTTACTGTCTTCCAGAAACTCTTCATCCTGCCAAGTTAGGGTTATAAATGCAAAGCTTGGTCCACTGGCCAAGGACTGTCAGAACCTACCTGGTGGAGGTAGATTTTGCATCACATCTTTGTCTTCTCTGAACTGGTGTGGTTGGTAACTTCAGTTTGGCTGCAAGACACACTGCCCTTTGAGATGTAAGCCAATTTTCACTCATTCCATGTGTGTACATTTCATCATTTTTCAAACTGCAAATTACCTGAGGGCTTTTGTGTCCCTGATTTGTAGTAGTACTGAGGCTAGTTTAATGTTTATCAAGCACTATGTGTCAGGTACTGGTCTAAGTGCTTCACACAGAGGAGTTCATGTCATTCTCTTAACAGCCCTGTTTTTTTTTTTTTAATTTGAAAAAAAATGTTTTTGGCTGTGCTGAGTCTTCGTTGCTGCAGAGGCTTTTCTCTCGTTGCAGGGCTATTCTCTAGCTGCGGTGTGCAGGCTTCTCATAGCGGCGGCTTCTGCTGCAGCGCATGTGCTCTATGATGCTTGGGCTTCACTAGTCAGAGCATGTGGGCTCAGTAGTTGTGGCTCTCGGGCTCTAGCGCACAGGCTTGGGAGTTGTGGTGCATGGGCTTAGTTGCTCCATGGCCGTGGGATCTTCCTGTACCAGGGATCAAACCTGTGTCTCCTGCACTGGCAGGCGGATTCTTTACCACTGAGTCACCAGGGAAGCCCATCATTCCTGTTCTGATTGCCATTTTGCAGATGAGAAATCTGAGGCCCATAGAGGGTAAATAACTTGCTCCAGGTCATGCAATTACCAATGACTGGTCTATGAACTGGCGCTGCTTGATCCCTCCCCCGTATGGCTTCTGATAGCAAAGATGCGGTCTCCTTAAAAAACTCATCTGGAAAGTGAGTGGTTTATTTCAGTTTGTTCTCCGGGCATGGAAGGTTTATTTATTTATTTGTATATTTGTTTGTATATTTTTACAAAATATATTTTGTATACAATTTGTTTTGTATGCAAAATAAATCTGTACATTTATTTGTATATAAATTTATTTGTATATTTATTTACAAATATACACAATTTATTTATTTTTCTCTACTGGGTCTTTAACAGCTATGGAAAGGCACCAAGGTGTGGTGGTGGGGGCAGGGAGCACTGTAGTGTATGCGGATAAACATTAGACATGGAGCCACAAGCCCTCAGGTTCAATTCCCAGCCATGCTGGCTAGGAGCCTTTGACCTTAGGCAAGTCGCTTGCACTTCCTGAGCCTCACTCTTCTCGCCTGTTAAATGGGATTACGATGTCTACCTTAGAGGGTTGTTGTGAGCTCATGAGAATATGAATATTAAAGTGGTTTGTACCTAAATTTAGGGTGATGAAATGATCATGGTTGCTACCTTTACTTTTTTGTTGTTGTTGTTGTTGTTGGCTGCACTGTGGGGCCTGCAGGGTCTCATTTCCCTGACTAGGGATTGAACCTGGGCCACAGCAATGAAAGCCCAGAATCTTAACCACTGTGCCAACCAGGAATTCCCATTATCTTAAAAAAAATTTTTTTTATTTAAAAAATTTATTTATTTGTCTCCACTGGGTCTTAGTTGCAGCCCAGGATTTAGTTGCAGCATATGGGATCTTTAGTTGCAGTGTGTGAAAATTCAGTTGTGGCATGTGGAATCTAGTTCCCTGACTAGGGATTGAATCTGGGCCCCCTGAACTGGGAGGGCAGAGTCTTAGCTACTGGACCTCCAAGGGACGTCTTTCCCATTATCTTTAGGATTAAAGGATGAATATGGTGAGGAATGACTAGTAACAGAAAAGGCGGGGCTACTGGGCCTGCTAATAGGATATCATTCTCTCTCTTGTGCTCTTCCCCAGCTCTCTGATAATGCCTCTAATGCCTGGTGCCTGTTCAGCCCATGCCCTGGACTCAGAGCCCGTTTCTTT